TTGGTATTCTATTTATGCCATGTATGAGGGGCCCTAGCATTGTCCCTATTTTTTCTTCCATAATCTTTATCATTTTAGGTTTTATATTTAGGTCTTTGATCCATTTTGAATTAGTTTTTGTGTATGGTGTGAGGTATGGGTCCTGTCATTTTTTTGCAGATGGGCAACCAGTTATGCCAGTACCATTTGTTAAAAAGACTGTCTTTTTCCCATTTAATGGACTTTGGTCCTTTGTCAAAAATCAGCTCACCACAGGTGGGTGGATTAAATGTTGTAATTTTATTGTATCACTCTTTATCTCCTACCTCTAACCTGTAACCTTTTACAATCGTAGATGTTTCTCGTTTGGTATTGGAGAAGGTGTTTCCGCTAGCCTGATAAAAGGCATTGCCTGGGCAACAGGGGGCACTTCAGAGTTTATCAACGGCCAGGACAGGATGCAGTCCAAGGTGAGGAACAGGTCATGTGTTCAGTGGCATCAGTCAGAGTTCCTGTGGAGCAGGATGGTGGACACTACCGCAAGGGCAATGGCAACTATGGGACTCTAGGATTTATTTTTGTGTATCTCCAGGGCCTTGGGCTATATACTTAGTGGGGCTATTTTGGGCCTTATGTGTAAAAGAGTGTCATCCTAGTTTCTGGATAAATGTATAGCTGGGAACCCAAAAATGAGATGCTGAAAGAGGTTGAGGGCTTTGTATTTGAGATCAGAGACAGAGAAACAGAGTTTTGGTTGTCATGATTGAGATTCTAGGTCTGTGTTTAAGCACCTCTTTTGAGCCTATATCGTATCCTCCAAGCAAAGGATACAAGGACAGCAGGAAGGAATGATTGTGATATGACCCATAGATTGGAAGAGTGGTATATTGATGCTTCATTTGATCAGCATGTATAAGGGGAAGATGTTTTCCACTCTGGTTACATTATATTTCTAAATTCCATCTTTCCCATTGGGTGCCATCTCTTATCTAATTCCTACTTTTCCAGGGGTCTCTTTTACCAAACATTTCCTTCATTCACATTTATATTATTAAATCTCTTAGTCTTAGCTTCCTCATGGTGCAGAGCAAGTGTAATAAAGCACGTCTCCTAGTATAGGATTAAGGATTAGGCATAGCATGGTTGTGTCACATAGCACCTGGTACATAATAAATATTCAACTAAAAATAATTGTCGTTGCTGTTATTTTTTTGTTTTTTGTTTTTCTTGTGGTTATTCTGTCCTCTCTCCCAGGCTCTTTTGGCCCTGAAGTGTTCTCTGCAGCCTGTGGTAGAGGACTTCTCATTGAGCTGGTCTTTGCCTGTTGGTTTGTCTGCCAAAGTGCTTTCCCCAGAACAGTCAGTCATCTTTAGGGGTCAGAGGTTAATCATCTATGCCCAAATACTTGGGCTGATGCCGGTGAGTTATCATTCTTGCTTGTTCCTCTAGTGAGAGTAGCTAAATCTTTGAATCCTGCTCCAGACAATGTCAGTAAAGCTAGTAGGTGGATTTGGATCTCATCAAGAGATCACACTTTCCAGGCCTAGCCACTTCCCAATCATTTCAGGTCTCTAATTTCCTGGGCTACCAGGATCTTAGTCAGAATATTTTAATGGATGAGGTTGGGGAGCTACTCCAGTTCTGACTTTTCTCTTGGTGATCTGTCCCTTCTGTCACATCTATTTTTCTCTAATTTGTAGCCAAAAGAGGCAAAAGGAGAAGTATGCCTGAAGTACACACTTCAGGGCAAGAGTTTTGAGAATAAGGTGACATTTTCTCTGCATTCCAAGCCTGATGCCAAGTGAGAATTCACAATTTTCCTTTGCTATTTCCTTTCTTTCTTTTTAAACAATCAGTTGTTTCCCTACAATGGCATCTCCCTGTAGACTACCGAAATCTTATCTCTCCCCTTATCTGGCTCTTCTCCCGCTCTGCCACCTATAACTTCTGAGGGCCGTTAGTAACTGGCACATGAGTGTTTTTCCATAAGTCACAGGAAGTTTTTCATTTCAGCTTCACCATTCACCACCTTGCTGCCAAGTCCCTGCTCCAGTTAAAGGACATGGGCTTCAGAGAGACTCCAGCAAATGATTAAAAAAAGAAGTATTGAAGATCAGCCTTGAGTGTGGAGTCATAAGCTCTCACACAGCTTTCATTGCCATCAGCAAGGATCTCAATCAGCCAGTTCAGGGGCCCCTGGTTCGTAGGGATATTCCGAGGCCAATTCTTTTGGGTGCTGTCACTACAGTGCCAAGATACCATGGAGGTGGTAAGTTTTATGCCTCTTAAATGCACATAGAATGAATAAGAGGGCCTGGATAGCTGAGCATGTTATTTAAAGGAAAAGGTTGAAAAGATCCTTAAATTGCCCTTTTTTCTTTATCCCTCCACATCTAGGGTTTCTGGCTAGTATTAAGAAAGAGTTCTGTCCTAGGGAACTAGAGTATATACCATAAAATAATCAAAGGGGAAAACAAAACAACAACAAGGAAACATTAATACATAGACACGGTACATAAACATTGAGTAGTCAAATTGTCTAAATCAGAAGCTGATTTGTCCTCTTGAGGCACATGGTTAGTGATCACATAGATGGCTGATGAAAAACCTGATAGTGGTAGGAAATGGGTGTTGATTGCCAGGACTGTGTCAGACACAAACCAAACAGGCTTAATTATAGAG